GGCCAATTTTTTTCGAATTTCAATCGATACTTTCATCATCTGGCTGACAAAAAGCTTTAAAAAAATCTGTATAATTTATTTATTATGTTTATAATTGTTCTTATTATTATTGTTATTAGACTACTGTAACAAGAGTAATTGGAACTAGCGATACGCTCGCTGTCAATGCACTATCAAACCTGTTTTGGGTTTACCTTTTCCGGTTTCACCCCAGTGTTAAGAGGGATGTGGTTGTTTGGGATGGACTGCGAACGACTGAACCAGTTAAAGTCGTCTTTTTACTGGAAAAAAATCGATGAACTTCATCTCCTACAAGGTCAGCGTCTCAATGGAACTAAAAAAGAACGCTTTGAATCCTGAAAATTGGCCACAGGGGGTTGTGTACAGATAATTCGAGGATACTCAGGCGAAAAACAATGATAGCTACCTCCTGATATCCCAGCACTCCCTTCTGTTCCAGAGAATATTCCCGGTGGCTCTCTAACTGGCACATCGTTTACGACACCAGCACTTCTCGATATGCCAGCACCTCATCTGACGAATCAATAATGCCCCCGAGAGGCACCGTAGAAAGCCTGATGAAGCTCCCGATCACCCCAACACAATCCCGCCTACCACGACCACAGCCTTCGTTCAACATAGTCGTCTCGGCCCTGTAGTTGGTGGTAGAAAGGGGGTCTTCCAACATGCTTGCATAGGCAAGTACCTCTGTGATTTAATTTTATCGTTGCGTGATGACTTTTCCCATACTCAGGTTATTCTGACCCCGGTCCAAAGCGAATTTTCGGTGACGCCTTCTGAAAATATCTTGAGTCAAATTACTTCACTACCAGGACGCACCGTAGAAAGCGTTTTGGGAGTCCCCAGTTCCTCTAAATCAGTCGCAACTATTGCAGCCAGCGTTCATCCAAATCGTCCTGGCCCTTAGTTTATATGTGGATTAAGGGTCTTCCAGCTTGCTATATTAGGCAAGTACACACTTAATAGCGAACTTTCACTGACTGATTTTTTAAAGTGATTTGTATATTTTCTACAAGTATGAAAATACAAAAAAAAAAGTTCCAGTAGTGAGAGAGAAATCTAGATAAACATTTCAAGAGGTCCTATCTGCATTGATCGATTCTCTTCATCGACTTTCTCTTTCGTAAATAGCTCAGCTGCAAAACCTTTCCCTTTTGTATTTGACGTTTTGGACGCTAGATAAGGACCTCCTTTATCAAACTATGTGGCAGAATTAGCGCGAAGTTTGTTTGCATAACAGTGGTTATGAAAAGACAAATTCGATGCAGAGAATCAATCAAAGCAGCTATGACCATTTGAAATGTTCATCAAGAAATCTGCTTCCAGCTGAAAATTTCCTGAATGAAGTAACATTCATAATTCCCTAGCATTTGATCTTTAGGTATCTGGGTTAACGAAAATCTTTATCTGGACATTTCTTTTTCAAATAGGCAACTCGTCATTAAGTTATAACACAAAACTTCTACTTGAAGTTAAATCGATTTTGCAGACATTATTCATTTATGAATTTCAAAATATTCAGTTGACTCTTCGAGAGATGAGATCGCTTAAAAAGGATATTTTTTTTTATTTTTTTTTTAACATTAGAATAAATGCAATCACTTCGAGTTTTCAGTATCATATTATAAAAAATAAATTTTTGCCCAAAAATATTAATTTAATTAAGATTACGAATATGTATTTGCCCCAATATTCTTAAACAACCCAATTACAGGCTAAACAATATCTGCATTATCAGTAAAAACATTAACAACCGGTCTATATATTTCACTTCTGCGTCGCTCAAACTCACGAAATTCAATTTAATTGGGCAATGTGAATGAACTTAATGCCGGTGATCTCCATTTTCTACTGAGATCTACCTTAAACGAAATATATGCAAAGGCCTCAAATTCTAATATCAATCCGAATAGAAAATTAACCAGCAACCAGACCCCTATACAGCAGGAGAAAATACACCCTCGACAACTTAACAGCAGCAGTGACAAAGTCAAACATTTCAGGGTCAGTTGTTTATAAGCTATTGCTACCGTGTCGTCTGCGATGCAAGCTGGCTTAATTCCGTGCTACGTGAAAGCTCAAAGTAAACAAAACATCGTACATGACCGTTCCTACCGCAGGGAGCATCCGTTCATGTGAAAAAAGACACCGACTTTCCATGAGAGAAGTCTAGTTTATATGCTATCTCAATCTATCTGTCTCGCTTTATACATTCTGGAGAATAACTTTAAGAAACCAATTCATGTATAAAAGGTTTGGAAAAATAAAGCATCGAGACAGTTGTTCTGATGAGTTACTTTATTCGAGGTTTGCCATGTGCGGACGAGTGCAGTTTCAACCTTAGAATAAATGATCATCTAGTGCTTTTTCGAACAGTAGATTTGTTTTCATACTGGCAATCATTTTGGAAAGAAAAGTCCGCTCGAGTGAAACGTGGATGCGCAACTTTTGGACGCTTCTATGTAGTCCAGCGTACTGCAATCCACCCATTTTGGGTACTAGTTACGCTTCCAGTTAAACAATTCGGATTATAATTAGTTTTCACCGATAGACATAACCAGTTAAAATCATTGTTAGAATCCACTAAAGACCCAGTTAATGTTTTAGAGATACGTAGGACAAACCAAGAGAACTTTAGTAGCTAAATTTAAAGAACAAAAAGCGGAGGTTAAAAAGGCAAAAAAGCAAGAGGGAAAAGGCCTAACATATGATTTAAAATCAAAGGTTGCAGAACACATCTTCACAGAGGATCATCAACAATCGACGGAGGACATCACGATTTTACGAACCGCATCTACACTACCGATCATAAGTTTAAGGACACCATCAAAAAACCATGCAAATATGTTTTGTTCAATGATCTCTCATTTTTTATTTCAAAATCTGGCAAACCCAATTCTGATAAAATCAGTCACGATTCTTCAGAGTAAATTTTGAAAAATATTGTAACTTTGGGTGAACTTTTAGCACACAAAATTTGAAAATTATATTGAACCTACAAGGAAAGTTCCATTCTATACCTTTCAAATGATTCAAAGAGAACGAAAATTGGACGTAACATGACAGAGATATGAACATGTTTTTTTGGGGGTGTCCTTAAACTTATGATCGGGAGTGTACACCATGAAAATTGAATGTTGCAGAGAGCCTCGAGATCAATAAACAATGGAATTCAACTTTACTCAACAGGGATCAAGGAAACGGACACTGCTCCTACAGGAAATTGAATTTAAGTTTACCTAGCTTCTAAGTGAAAATGTACCTGGGTTAATATATATGATCGCGCACGGTAGGACCCGATTTTCTACGTTGTGTGATTAATTGAAACAAACCGATTTATTGGCCGTCCTGCCATGGCGGAGGCATTTGAACTATATTGTTTTCTATATTTCTTTGAATAGTAGCTACAGTGGGTAGGGTAGTTGTACATGTCGATGACATTGCACAAACATACTCCCCCCCAAAACAAACTGTTTTCTATTGACTAGTGGTATATGCATACATACAATGGTAACACACAAACTTTGATGGCATAAAGGAAACAATGAAACAAAACACGATAACTGCAGAAAAATCCGGCATTCGCACTCGCCCTTTAACAATGAATATGCTCCCTGACCAGAACTGTCGTGGTTCGCGGTGAGCCAGGAACGTGCATATTCTGCCAGATGACTACCTGTGGGCCACACCATCGTAGCGGGAAGTGAAGCGGTGGTCTTACAATCGATGGCGCCATTCACTGTTTCATCTTTACCGTCGTCCTCGTTGTCGTCATATGTGTTGAAATTTGGTTTGTTGCACTGCTGTAGTTTGCCCGTCGATCGAGTGGATGGTCACGGCACCATATGATCGCGCACGGTAGGACCCGATTTTCTACGTTGTGTGATTAATTGAAACAAACCGATTTATTGGCCGTCCTGCCAACGAAATTATGATTCACGAAAGATGGGCTATTTTAAACATTGATAAACCACAATTGACCACAATTTAACGATTCAAAGTGTAATGACAAACACAACACAATCATCCTAAACAATAACAGAATAACTTATAATTTCATAATTCCGAATAAATAGTATCTAATGCGAAATTGTATTCGCAAGATGCCTATCCCCCCAAAAGACCTGGGTTCAATCCTAGTCGGCGCTGCCAGCATTTTCTGTGGAATAAAATCTCTGATCCGAAGTGCGCGGACAAAAGAAAAGCCGTCGGCTCATGAGTTGATGGGTCGATAAGTAGGGTCCAGTTGTGGGAGTGCCTCCCTGGCGTCGGTGGCATCTGTTTTCAGTACGGAAAACAAGATCGACGTAAAATAAATCAAAGAAAAAAAAGTATATGCAAACATGCATGTCATTGTGCATTTAACAAATCTAAAACTCTTCTAACTTATAATGAGAGAGAGAAGGATTAGTATTTTCCATTTAATTCCACTACTTTATTTGCTTATCCTTGACAGATACGCGTATTTCGTCTACAATGTGCAGACTTCTTCAGTGTCTTGTACTAATACTCGACTTTAGTATTAGTACAAGACACTGAAGAAGTCTGCACATTGTAGACGAAATACGCGTATCTGTCAAGGATAAGCAAATAAAGTAGTGGAATTAAATGGAAAATACTAATCCTTCTCTCTCTCATTATACAGGTATTCCACTAAGACGCCCACATTCATCAGGATTCTTCTAACTTGTTTATACTCCTTAAGAAATTATCGCAACTTCATTTGACCGTTCAAATGATGCATGAAACTACTCGCAATCAAAAATCTTTTCATCTGTAGCCGATAATTACAGTCAAACAGCCACTTGCTATATCCACGGAGAACTTAATAGCAAACAAACATTCATCGACACCAAGTAGCGCTATTTCCCCCGACTTAACACTTAACTGACACCGAAAAGAAGTTCCCCCCGATTCCCAGCCCCGTCATCGTCCAGAAGGCACTTTCGTGAGCGCTTCTTGTCGCGCTGCCAACTTACCTCTTTCAACTGTTGAACTTAACCCATTTACGCCGTGCAACGGCATCCACGGCGGTAGCAGCAGCATACAGCTCGCGATGAGCGCCAATATCGGCACTGCCCTCGGCAGCCGCCACTTGACGTAGCCCGTCACCATCGTGTCACTTCCCGGGTTGATTGAATGCTTTCTTCGCCTTCGGTTCACTTTTCCTCCGAATACGCTCGGAACTCACAGACACACCCTTATCCAAGATCTCAAACGCGCTTTTTTAGCTGCTCTGGCTCTGACTCCTTGAGCTCGAGAATTCTTCCGTCCGAAGATCTACGACACTTTTATTCTGTTTGTATCTTCACGTTTCTTCCTGGTTTATGTGTTTTTGATCAATTCCGTCGAACAAGGGAACGAGGTTAGGAAGAAAAAAAAACCGCACTACGAAAGGGGACGACGACGACGACGGAGACGAGACTCAAACATCATACACTTTCTCCCGAACCAGATTCCAGGAAAGTGGAGAACCTTGAACTCTTTCGACTTCTTTGCCAGCTGATTTCGGATGTTGATTCACCTTATTGCCCGGGCGTTTCACCACTCGGAATCCTCAAAGCTTGATTGACTGTCACACACCGCACGCTGTCTGTCGATGATCTAACGGAGTTGCACTCGATCGAATGTAAAAAAACAAAACTTCACTCGCGATCACGGTATCGAACACTGGGTCACTACCCGCCAGACGCGCGCCTGGCCTAGGAGAGTCGAGAAATTTGAATAATTAGCATTTGCAAATAATCCGTTGGTTTTTCTCTTTTTTTTTTCCCTCGTCGAGCGGAGTTTGTTTCTGTAACGCGGCCAAAAACCGCAAGCCCCGTCCGTCCGTGGTATGTTTGGCTGTGGCTCGCTCGGCCCCAGTTCAAGTCGTCGTCCGGAGAGCGAAAAAGAAAGTACCAACCAGTCCGCGAAACGGCCGAAAACAGTTTGAACTGGCAGCTGGCAGCATGGGGTATGTTAAGCTACCAGCACTGGCAAAGCGCGGCTTATTCCTCTACCTCGATCTGCTCTTCGGCTCAACAGCGCGCTCTTCCTTCGTATGGGGGTCCAAGAAACGGGGGTTCGTACTCGAGTCAGACTTTCTTTTTCCGCGCGCGCGCTCTCTCTCGCACTTACTCACTCACAAACCACTTTCTTTCGCCGCGCAAATCACAGATTGCTGACACTGAGGCTGCTTCGGTATGTAGAGAGACGGAGCGATTGCCACAGTAAATGTCATTCGAGATATTTGTATGCGACCTTCCTCAATGGCCAGCTAGGACCGACTGAAGATCAACTTGCATCACGGTGAAAGAAATTTCTTTCGACACCACGCCGAAGGTGGAACCCTCGCAGCATCTCTCCTCTCCGGCAGATCTCTCTCGCTCAGGTGTTGCTTTCTTTCCGATCTAATACCCGTTTTTTTTCGATCATCATCGTCATCCCTTGTGGAGCTTTCCAACATAAACATGATTGAACAGCATAGAAAAGTGGTGCACCGATGATCGTTGCTGACCGACGTCGTCGGCATCATCATCGACAGCTCAAGTTTCCCAGTACGATCATCCAAAACCAGGAGCATATGCTGAGAGTGGGAGAGAGTGCCTACATTAGTCAGGTAGCTATCATGCAGCGCGGAAAGAGTGGTGGGTGTGTGTTTGTGAGCCGTCAGAGATCACTTTGTTGCATGCGTGATCGCTTCAACATGCTTTTTTTTTGTTTTACGAATCTGTGATGCGAAGGAAAGCAAAAGAAAAAGGCGATGATGGTCACTGTTAAATGATAGCTTTCAAGGAAGTCGATTTGATAAGGGACTTGGGTGATCGGCAGAGGCGAGGGGCTTTGTGTTTGTATCACCTATTATTATTAATTTGAAGTGATAATAAGTGAAGAAAATTTACTTGGTAGAATCTGGAATTAACATTTAATGTCATTTTGTAATCCAAATTGAAGTACAGTGTACCTCAAAATTCATCGTTCACCCTAAAAGATTTTTTTTAATGGTTAATAGACATACGTTTTTTTTAAATGGTGATTGAACAGATGTTTATTGATTTATTGCTATCATTTTAGTCTTTATTGGAGGAGCATGAAGTTAGATTTATTTTAGTAAAACGCACGATTTTAAACTTTTTAACTAGTGAACGATTTTTTTTTTAAATAGTGGCAGATGATGATGAATTATTTTTATTACGACTAAAAATGAGCAAAATTTCAAAAAGTTATGTTCATTTTATTTAAAGAAAAAGGCGTTAACGTAGTAGTAAGCGTGATTACCTCTCACCCCAGCAGGCCTGGGTTCAATCCCAGTCGGCGCCGCCGGGATGTTCAGATGCATAACATTTCTGATCACGCCTTCATTCGGAAAGTAAAGCCGTTGGTCCCCGGTTCATGAGTTGATGGATCGATAGGTAGGGTCTAGGCGTGGGAGCTGCCTCCCTGACGTCGGTAGCATTGGTGCTCAGCCCGAAAAACAAGATCGACGGAAAACAAATCAAGGAAAAAAAGGAAATGAAAAAGGCGTTTTCCTTAATATTTTAAACTTTTTGTAAACTACTCCAAATATGCCCAATATTGAGTCAATAATTGATAAATGTATGCTGAGTCAGTTGCCAAAAAATCAGAGATGAATATTTTTAACTTGTGCTTTTAGAGCCGTTTTTCTAAAATTTAAGTACTGCTGTACGATCAATTTTGAGATACACTGTATATTGAAAGCTTTTCCATAATCAGAAGCTCACATGCTCTCTATCGCCATGTAATGAGAACATTATGTTCTTATGTATTTTTTCCTGATTTTTTAAAACTAATTCCATCTCATTTTGACTTCATACAAAAGCAGGAGAGCGATGAATCTTCTTCTTCTTGTTCGCATTTCAAGCTTATTGCTTAGCGCATATTAGCTTATTGTGTGCTCTCAAGTTGAGAGTCTCAACTTAGTGTTCTAAATGCACTTCCACAGTTATTAATTGAGAGCTTTCGATGCTAATACCAATGCATGAATTTGTATATTGTGTGGCAAGCACAATGATACTCTATGCCCAGGGAAGTCGAGAAAATTTCCAACCCGAAAGATTCCCTCGACCGGACCAGGAATCGAACCCGCCACCTCCGGCTTGGTAATACCGTGCCTTTACTGACTAGGCTATGAGGCCCCACGAGCGATGAATGCAACCGTAAAAAAAAAGATTCGGGTGAAATGTCCATTTCAAGACTATATGATATTCTATAAATAAAAACCGAAGACGTCCGTCTTATAACTGCTTTTTCAAAATTTAATGAGAGCAAATATGTAAAAAATAATTAGTTAGAACATTTTTATTTTGCTAGAAAGATTTAAAAGAAAAAAATTTTTTTAGTTATGTATTCAACCTTGACATGAAATGCAACAAGTAGACAACCTAATGTTCCAGTTCGGGATATTTTGGCTAGACGCGATCTGGAGTTTATGAAACTCATATATGTTTACTTTAAGAATATTAACCTTAGATTGTAAGTTTGATTAATCTTGTGTTTAGTTTGTATTTTGTACGTGTGGGTTTTTTTTTCAATGTTTGTTTTCAAGATGAATAGAAAGTATTTCATGTTTGAGGATTAATTAAATATTTTTATCGTAAACCACATTTCAAACCTCCTTCTCTATTTTCCCATCTAAAAAAATGTAAATCTCCACTAAACTCGAGACAACCGCGAGTACTTGGTCCAGTTCCTTTAACTTTATATATAAGACAGTAATAATGTATAACGGAAATGATTACTCGGCTCTGTAAAGTTTATTCAATTGAGCATACACAAATAAAGTAATTAATAAAAAAAAAACAAAAGAGATGCATCAAAAATTATGACTTTATTTTTTCACTTAGGATGGAGGTCGCCCTTCCACCTACAAGCGTTACGTAATAAATGAACACTAACTTATGGGAAACCTGCCCAGAAATGTTTAAAATATCATAAAAGCATTATTGTGCATCGTCGTGAAGGAATTAAAAAAAAAAAAAATATAAAATAACATTGATTTTCCACAAGAAAAGCTCTAAACAATCTGTCACTCATCTGGTCATATCTCAAAAACTATTTTCCCAAATCATTTTCCCTTGGAAACATATTAAGAAGAAGAGTTTTCCAAAGTGTGGTGAAAACTTGAGCCCAAAATATGAGGAAATAAAAAATCCTGCCCATGGTGAAATGAAAGCATTTTTTGATAATCTGGATACCTGCTGGTAACCAGCCTTTTTCCTGTAGTTAATATAACAAAATCCAAATGTGGGTATTTAAAAAAAAAATTAAAAACCTTCAAATTGACGTTCTAAAATCACGATTAACTTATTTGGTTGTGGAGTAATCTATTCTGAAATATGAAATTTACAATTGAAATTTACAATTGAAATTTACAATTGAAATTTACAATTGAAATTTACAATTTAAAGCAAAATCAAAAAAGGCATTTGTTCAGAATGCCAAAATAAGCGTTTTGGCCAAGTTTGGCTCAAATCGGTGACATCGACCAATTCTGTACCCACTTGAGCTGGAATGACCCATATTGTAGGTTAGGTGTATATAGTACATAGTTGTAGGTTAGTTGTAGTTGTATATACTAGTTATAAGTAGTGTTCTTTTTCCAATTTCAAACAAACCAATCCCACCAAGGTGGGCATTCTCTAAACATGCCTATAGGACTAGGAACTTTAAATAATAATTTTAATTTTCAAATGAACTAAAGTTGATAAGACGCATCTGTGTCACTTGAAAAATCCATACACCACACAAATTCAAGAAATAAAGATCATCTAAATAAAAAAAAGAATTAAGTGCTTGGTACTGAAATCGTTAGTTCCATGCAATACTGTCACAAGTCGAAATTTTTAATATATTTATGAGATTTTAGTGTGATTAGTTTGAAATTTTGAAATTTGTGAAAAAATGAAAATTCGAGATACGTTTGCCTTTGCTACTTTTTCAAAAAAGAATGAATGAAATACACTTATTTTCAGGACAATAGAAATGAGAGATTAAAAAAATTAAAACTTAACACAAAAATGCAGAAGGTTGAAACTTTTTTTTTTCTTGATTTGTTTTTCGTCGATCTTGTTTTCCGTGCTGAGCACCAATGCTACTGACGCCAGGAAGGCAGCTCCCACACCTGGACCCTACCTATCGACCCACCAACTCATGGACCGGGGACCAACGGCTTTACTTCCCTTCCGAACGAAGGCGTGATCAGAGATGTTATGCCTCAGAACATCCCGGCGGCGCCGACTGGGATTGAACCCAGACCTGCTGGAGTGAGAGGCAATCACGCTTACCACTACATCACCGGCACCGCTGAATTTTCAAACGTTGATTGTTAAAATTCACAGAAACACCCCGTTTTCTTACGTAAAATGATGGATTTGCATTCACAAAATTCACGAAATCTAAAAAAAAGTTAAATGTAGAAAAGGAGAGAAATGCATCCCGGGAAAAACACCCGGTCTGGCATTTCAAAGCTGTTCCACTCCTAATTCTGGGTTTTTTGTGTTGAAATGTTAGTTCAAGTACTAAACT